GAAACCCCATCTCTACTAAAAATACAAAAATTAGCTGAGCATGGTGGCGGGCACTTGTAGTCCCAGCTACTTGGGATGTTGAGGCAGGAGAATCCCTTGAACCCAGCAGGCGGAGGTTGCAGTGAGCCGAGATCGCACCGCTGCACTCCAGCCTGGCGACAGAGCGAGACTCCATCTCAAAAAAAAAAAAAAAGAAAGAAAGAAAGAAGCTGGGTGAGGTGGCTTACACCTATAATCTCAGTACCGCGGGCAAAGCAGGCAGATTGCCTGAGCCCAAGAATTCGAGGCCAACCTGGGCAACATGGTGAGACCCTCTGTCTACAAAAAATACAAAAATTAGTTGGGTGTGGTGGCACATGCCTGTGGTCCCAGCTACTCAGGAGGCTGAGCTGGGCTGAACCTGGGAGGCAGAAGTTGCAGTGAGTGAAGACTGTGGCACTGCATTCCAGCCTGGGTGACAGAGACTCTGTCTCCCAAAAAAAGAAAAAGAAACACATTTAACTTAGAAAAACAAGGAGTCCATAATATTATTTTAAAGGTGTAAAAAAAATTCATTTAATCACTGAGGCAGCTATTAAAGCAACACCTTATTTTGAAAACTGGTAACTAAATACAAGGAAATTAAGCATTTCTCTTTCCTTTCCTGTAAAATTTGCCTTTGAGAATACCCAAATAGCTTCAGTTGATGAAGGAAGGCTGTACTTTACAGAAGAATGTCAATTATAATGTAGGAGTAACAGAATTAGACATTGGTCATTCTGCAACTCTAATGAAATTATTAGTTCTGGAAATGATTAGGTTAATGGTTGATGAGATACTACTACTAGCACAACTGTCCAATGAGAAGCAGATTGTCATCACCTTAACCCGGTGGTCATCCTTAGCATTACTAATGGTTGTTCAACTAATTGTCATGTGTGTCTTGATGTGATGCATTATGAGGCACATGACATTACCTACAATGTGCTCTAACAACAAAATGTTTAACTCAATCAAGCCATTATATTTAAATTCCAATGTTCAGGAAATGAAAAGGAAAGAGGAGCACTTCAAGTAACATTGAGAAAGAAGGCAAGTATATCCAGAAAGTGAGTCATTCTGCCTGTTAACCAGCCTGATGTCTTGAATTAAGTCCGTTTTAAATGTGCAGGTGAAGAAGGTGTGGCTGAAGGACTGCATTATATTTTAAGTGACTTGGAGAAATAGTCAGATGCAATGTGTGATCTAGACTGGGCCCTTATTTGGATCTAATCAGTTACGTAAAGAACATTTTCAAACTGGGTACAGGATAAAGGAACATTTACTGATATAGAAAGGTATACATTATATGCTAAAAAACCAGATTATAAACAACATATACAGAATGAGTTTATTTTGGTATATATGTGCATAGAATAATTTCTGAAGGAATACTGTGGCAGACATTACTAATGTTCACCAACACCCAGTTTGCTTCCCCTTCCAAGCATACAGAAGGTTGTACTTTTCAGGCCCATGCAATCAGAAAGGATAAACAGACTGCGAGTAGAAGAAACCTGTGGCAACTTCTGCTGAAATATTCTTTCCTTGCCATAGAAATCATAGAGGAAGACTTAATTAAAATACAGACAACAGGACAGGATCTTAGTAACCACCACACTGAGGTTCACTGTGCCAAAGAGTCACCCAAATTCACAGTTGACTTTGCATGAGCCAGAAATAAAACTGTTTTGTTAAGTCACTGAGATTTTGGTGTTGTTTGCTATTAGAGCTTAAGGCAGCTTAATCCAATGAACACAAATAAACTCTAATACATTACAGTGGCAATCTGAGGGTAGTAAAAATATATTATTTTTATTTTCTTATCTTTTCTTTCTTCTAATTCCCTACGATGCTTTGTGCTGCCTTCTTTCTAAATGGTCAAAGTTCTTCTTTTTAATTAAAAAACATAATGAAAGGAGACCACCTTCATCACAAACAGTGCAAAAAATTATTACAGACAATTCCCTAAATGTGACTGCCATAAATGTAGCATACAAAATAAGTAACTCATTTTTTTTTAGGGCATTACATATCAGACATAATTCACTGTATTTAGCTACCATAAGTATGGCAGACACATAAAAAAGTAAAATTCATACAGATGTTTTATAAAAATTCTATCATTTTTAAAAAGCTCAACTCTTGATAATAACAAAAAGTTTAGCTGGAAAAGTCCACACTAGAGCGTACATGCTGACATGTTTTACGCAACTTGTCCAGTTCACTGTTTTTCAGATGATTATTTAAGGGAAGGGTGACGAGTTTTTTCAGACTATCTAGACTTCTATTCATAACTGATCTGGATATACATTCCCATCACATTTGTTCATAGTATTGAAAGGTCCTTAGATTTGGGATGTTATGCAAGATAAAAGAGTGCTCAGAGTTTCAATTAGCAAGACTATTTAATAATAAACTACAACTGAAAACTACTCAGAAATCCATCAGTAGTACAACTGGCCTTGTAAAAGAGGTTGAAGTGAGCCCCCTTGCCCTTCTGCCATGTAAGTAGGCCATGAGAAGCTGCTGTCTAGGAGGAACGGGACTCTCATCAAATTGTTGGTGCCTTGATTTTGGACTGCCCAGTTCTCATTTTGAACTATGAGAAATAAATTTCTGTTTTTTATAAATTAGCCAGGCTAAGGTATTTTATTATGACAGCCCAAATGGACTAAGCCAGTATGTAATTCTATTTAAAAACCTTTGCTTTCAGTATATCACTGAAATGTGAAATATACTTAAAAGCATATGTATATTTGAGAATCTTATCTTTTATGCAAGAGATTATATAAATATAAAATATAATCCTAAATTGTAGGACCATAAAATACTGAAGCTAACTATAATAATGTATGTGTTATACAATACACAATTAAGGATGGGTACATTATTCAAAGACAATTCTTCAGCAAGATAATTGTTAAAAAGTCAAATAAATATGATCTAAATTAAAACAATTTTCTGAATGGCAAGCTAAAAATAAGCACTAAGAGATTTCTAATGAAATTTAAGCAATATCTATCATTACATTTTCAAATTTTTCATGAAATATTACAAATAATCTCAATAATATAGATGTAAAGAGACTCAATCACATTGGTCACATTTTATAGTACTGCTTTGAAAACAGTCCATATAAATGGGTCTAAATTATCCTCATTATTTTATAATTGAAAAACTGAGGCAAAGAAAAGCTCATTGTTTTACTTAATATAATTACTAATTCAATTATGAGTAAGGTCATTAAAATTTTTAGACTTTCAAATATGAAAGGACCATGAAATAAAAACAGCCTTACATATGAATTATGTCTCCTAGCTTAAAAGAATAGTTACATAGTATAAATATTTACATTGCTCTGAAGAAAACTCTCGCAGCTGTTAGGCAATTCAACTAATACACTGATTATTTTCTATTTTATAAATGTTTAATTTCATGTATACATATTGGTGCTAACAAAATAAAATGATTAGCATAATGTATGTCACAAAATAAATAGGGTAATTACTGAATATACATCACATGTATAATAAAAACCACAAAATTCAAATAGAAAAATGAACGGCTTTGCCGTCTCCATTTTAGAAGATTTTTTAGTATTTTTATTCCAAGACAAAACCAGATTAAATAAATTAGAAATTACCTTGACAGCCACTCCTTTTCCTTCAGGAAATTCTAGAAGATGAAAAGTCAGTTCTTCAACCCTAGTAATGCAGAGTTTTGGGTCAGTTGTTCTTCTTAATGCCTGAACTAATGCCCGGGTCCTGTTATCAATACTCACCCTTGCGATAATCTACAAAGACATATTAAATATATATGATTAGAATACAAAACTGCTCTAAAGAACAATTCAAGTTTCTTAGTTCTCACTAGGAAATAAAACTTACAAATGTGACAAAAAGTAATAGAACCAAAAAGCACACTGAACAACTTGCCTTTTCTCGCTGAAGAGATAAACGCTTTTTCTCCTCTGCATTTCTCTCTCTGCTCACAGCCTGATCAGTTTTAGCAGGCTCTTCCTGTTCTTCTGATTGACTCTTAGAATCATACTTTAATTTGGGGACAAGTCCACCAATATAACCACCTACTAAAGCTTGTACACCTTCAGTGGGACGAGAAAGTAAGTTGGCAATACTTTGTTTAGTTGAAATTGGAAGAACATCAGGTATTGCAGAAGGACTTGTAGGCTTGTCCACAGTATCTAAAGATTCTGAGCCTGGCTTGTAAGCCAGGATGCCAGGATCTGGAGAACTTAATTTCCCCTCTTCCACCTCTTTATCTTCAAGTTTTGATTTTTCCTGGAAATGTTCATTTTCCTTTTCTTGAGACATTTTTTCCTTACGTTTGAAGTATGAATTAATATGATTTGATAAAAAGTAGAATGACTCTCCAAATTTTGTGGTTATAATATTTGTGTAATGAAAAAGACTGCGTTTACCTCTATTTTCTTCTTTGTCTATAATGTGACTTTTCTCTTCTGGAAAAGGACTCTTTTCTGCTGATTTGTCACTATATTTTTTCAGAGATTTGATGGCTTGTTTAATGTTTTTCTGTTTTAACCAGCCACTATCTGATACTTTTCTTAATATTTGGGAACTTGGCTTAAATTGAGCTAAACGTGAAATCATTTCATTTCGATTGCCAAAAATAGCCTTTGAAACAGAGTTCAAAGTACTTTTAATACGGGACACACAAATGTTCACTTTTGTAAGTCCCTTGGGAGCAGAAGTGCTAAGTTTCAAAATTCCAATATGTAAACCATGGTTGCTTGGAGAGTAACAGTGCTTACTGCAAGAATGTGCTTCGCTTTTGGTCCATTTACATCTTATTATGTTTGTATGAAAACCTCTTTGTAGACTGATGTGGCTTATCCTCCAGCAATGCTTAGGTGAGAACAAGAAATGCAGTTGCTTGCTTCTCTGCTTCCCACAAACACTTCTTGCATTACTAAGGAGGTAAATATATATATCTACAGTCAGATTAATAGACATAACTTAAAAATCATTTATTTTCTATGACATTCTCTCACTTCTTGAGTGCTTCATTTAAGAAATGCCATAATTCATGGTCTTACCTGAAATGGCAAGAAAAAAAAATTAGAATTCACGTTAAAAATTGAAATTGGGTATAATAGAAAATACAAGACTATTTGGACTAAATTCAGCAAGCTATATCAAAAAAAGCAGATAAAATATTGCCATTATAGCTGATAGAAAATTCATTTTTAAGCTAATATAAAATAATTCACTTTCAGTATAGAGGTAAATAAAAAAAGAAAATGAGGAATAGAATGTTTAGGGAAAAGAACTAATTTAGAGAAGTTTCCCAATAGGTAAGTTTTCCTACAACACATAATTTAATATGCAATTCAGATACTCCGCTTTTTTTTCCCCCTTCCTCACTGTTAAATTCTGGACTACTTTATGTGACACTAGACTTGAAGACACTATTCCTTGAAGAAAAAGGTCAGGTCTTACACATCATTCATTGCAAACGATTTATAGAATACTTAATCTATAACAGACATGGTGCTAGATGCTGAAGTCACACAGTTACAGGATATGAAACAAAACTTCCAGTCTAGAGCTGCTAACAGATATGTGAAAAAGATTTCACTACCTAAGTAATAAGTGCTCATTAAATCAAGTAAGTCAGGCTAGAAGAAACTATAGCATCTAACATAGAAGGGGTTCTTAACCACTATATAAAAAGAATCCATACAAATAAGAAAAGAATAATCCAATTTAAAAATGTGGTATTGGTAAAAGAAAAGACAAACAGATCAATGGAACAGAATAAAAAATCCAGAAACAGACCCAATTAAATACAGTTGATTGATCTTTCACAAAAAAGCAAAGGTAATACAATGGAGCAAAAATAGTCTTCTTAACAAAAGACAACTGGACATCCGCATGCAAATTAATCTAGACACACACATAGTTTTATACCTATCAAAAAAATTAACTCAAAACAGATCACAGATCTAAATGTAAAATGCAAATGTATAAAACTAGAATGTAACGTAGGAGAAAACTTAGATGATCTTAGGAATGGCAATGACTTTGAGATAATATCAAATGCATGATTCATGAAAGAAAAAATTGATAAGGTGGACTTCATTAATATTAAAAACTTCTGGCCAGGCGTGGTGGCTCACACCTGTAATCCCAGCACTTTGGGAGGCTGAGGCAGGCAGATCACGAGGTCAGGAGTTCAAGACCAGCCTGGTCAGCATGGTGAAACCCCGTCTCTACTAAAAATACAAAAAATAAGCTGTGCATGGTGGTGCACGTCTGTAATCTCAGCTACTCGGGAGGCTGAGGCAGGAGAATCACGTGAATTCAGGAGGCAGAGGTTGCAGCAAGCCAAGATTGTGCCACTTGCACTCCAGCCTGGGCAATAAGACCAAGCCTTGGCCCAAAAAAAAAAACAAAAAAAACAAAACCTTCTGCTCTGTGAAGGTCAATGTCAAGAGAATAAGACAACGAGGCAGAGACTGGGAAAAAATATTTTCAACAGACATATCTGATAAAGACCTGTCATCCATAATATTTAAAGAACTCTTAAAGCTCAACAATAAGAAAACAAACTCAATTACAAATGTGCCAAAGGCTGTAACAGACACCTCATCAAAGGAGATATATAGAAACAAATAAACATATGAGAAGTTGTACCACATCATATGTCATCAGGAAAATGCAAACTAAAATAACCATGATACTACAACATACCTATTACACTGGCCAGAATACAGAACACTGAGAACACTAAATGCCGGTGAGGATGTAAAGCAAAAGGAACTCTTACTCATTGCTGAAGAAACACAAAATGGTACAGTCACTCTGAAAGATAGTTTGGTAGTTTCTTGCAAAATTAAACATACTCTTAACATATGACCCAGCAATGGTACTCCTTGATATTTACCCAAAGGAGCTGAGACTATGTCCATAATAAAATCTGCACATGGATGTTTATAGAAGCCTTATTCATAATTGCCAAAATTTCAAAACAACAAGATGTATTTTAGTAAGTGAATGGATAACCTGTGGCATGTCAATATATGGTATGTGTAGACAACGGAAAATTGTTCAGTGCTACAAAGACATGAGCTATCAAGCCATAAAAAGACTGCGAGAAACCTGAAATGCATATTACTAAGTGAAAACTGCCAATCTGAAAAAGGCTACATACTGTGTCTTAGTCTGTTCAGGCTCCTGCAACGAAATCCCATAAACTGGGGAGCTTACATATGGGAGATACCCCATATATAAAATGGGGTATCTGTGCGTGTTTCATAGAGACAGGGTCTCACTCTGTCACCCACGCTGCAGTGCAGTGGCATGCATGATCATAACTCACTACCTCCTTGAACTCCTGGACTCATGCAATCCACCTGCCTTAGCCTCCCAAGTAGCAGGGACTATAGGTACACATGCCTGGCTTAGGTAGCTTATAAACAATAGAAATTTATTTCTCACAAAATTTCCCACAGTTCTGGAGACTGGGAAGTCCAAGATCAGTATTAGCAGATTTGGTATCTGCTGAAGGCCCACTTACTGGTTCACAGATGGCTGTCTTCTTACTGTGTCCTCACATGGTAGAAAGTACTAACTAGCTCTATGGGTTGTCTTTTAGAAGGGCACTAATCCCATTCCTAAGGACTACACTCTCCTGACCTAATCACCTCCCAAAGGCCTACCTCTTAATACCATCACCTTAGCAGTTAAGATTTCCACATGAATTTTGAGAGGCACAAACATTCAGACCATAGTATGATTCCAGCTATATAACACTCTAGAAAGGCAAAACTATGAAGACAGTAAAAAGATCAGTGGTTGCCAAAAGCAGAGTATAGAAGGAATAAATAGGTAGGGGACAGAGGATAGTATTTTTACTGCCCTAAAAATCCTCTGTATAGTATCATAATAATGGATAAATATAATTAAACATTTGTTTAAACCCACAGAATGTACACCACCAGGAATGAACCCAAATGTACCCTATGAACTTGGGGGACTGTGTGTGAATGCAGGCTCATCAATTATAATACCTGTACCACTCTGGTGAGTGATGCCAATAATGGAGGTGGCTATGCGTGTACTGGGGTAGGGGGTTTATGGAAATGTCTGTACCTTCCTCTCAATTTTCCTGTGAACCTAAAAACTGTTCTAAAAAAAGTCTTTTTTTAAAAAAGCAATCTGCAGTTCTATATATGCTATACACACATGAATATATATATACACACACACACATATTAAAAAATGAAAATCTACATATGTAGTTGAAATCTTATGAGCACACATATACATACACAAATTGATTCTGAAAGGATAAGCATCTCTTTATTCTTATGACCTAAGGCATGGGGCCAAAAGGGAATGAGAACGGTTTTTACTTTTTACTTTTCTACTGTCTGAATTATTTATAATGAGGTTTTATTTTGTAATTAGAAAAAGTAAAATATTTAAAGCACTGTAACAGAAGGTACCATGTGAATGAAAGACAAATTGAGATAAAATCTAGGGAAGTTTAAGAAAAAAAGAGGTTAAAAACTGGCCAAAGTTAAAAAGGAATTCATCATGTGTAAAGATGAGAAGGAAAGGAGAGAATTCTAAATAACCGTAAACAAAACAAACACAGCCAGGAGTTTGAGACCAGCCCAGGTAAATGGTGAAACCTTGTCTCAAAAAAATAATAATAATAAAACAAATTAGCTGAGCATGGTAGCACACGCCTGTAGTCCTAGCTACTCAGGAGGCTGAGGTGGGAGGATTACTTGAGCCCAGGAGTCTGAGCCACAGAGTCCCCACCTCTAAAACAAACAAAACTACACACAGAAGCAAACAGAAGAAAGCATGGAAGAAAGCACATATAGTATGTGCAGAGATTGCATATAGTCTAGTTTTACTGCAGGACCTAGAGAGATTGAGAGAGAGGTAGATGATGCTGAGAAAGATGGAACTGAGAACCTATTCCAATTGTCCAGAAGATAACAGCCTGAAGTAAAATTCTTCCTTCTAAATTGCATGTGCCATTTAGAATTTTATATGGAAGAGAGAGAAAAAAAAGCAAAGCCTGTCTTGTCTTCCAGGCTGAAGGAGCCCAGGGAATTCTACCACAAAATATGGCTGCCTGGTATAAGTATTTTGAATTAAAGCCCCATCAGAGATCAACAGATGCTAGAAGAGACTTTTCCCCTATCTACAAAAAGACCAGACAGATTCCCCAAGGAGAATAATTGTTTTCCCGTCTCCTCCTCAGGGAGACGGGAAAACAATTTTATTATCTGCTGCAGAAAAGAAGACTGGAAGACTGAAGAATATAACCACACCCAAATGACACTTTAACAAGATAAAGTCTGTCTCTTAGGCTCATTCAGTTTTCAAAGAGAATACAAGTTCATCTCTGTCCTTCCAACCCCCCGTCCATTCCTTCGCCCTAGTGATCAGTTATTGCCGCTCAACAGAATTACCTCTATTCCCCATCTTTCCTTCCCCTCTGAAAACAGCTATGTAAGTATGTGGGCCCCACTGGGATAGTTAAGTAATCATTGCGATTCTCAGCTGTGCACATTAATAAATTTGTATGCCATTTCTCTTAGTAATCTGTTTCTGTCAGCTGATTTTCAGCAAACTGGCAGAGGTGGAAGGGGACATTTTCCCTTGATTCCCACAAGGCTCTTCCAAACTCCTTGGGACTTGCAACAATAAGATAAGTCAAGTTAACATAAAAGCTCTGCAGCCCCAATGACACAAAAACACTTAAGGTAAAATACTTGCGGATAAAAAGCCATGCTCTGTTTTCACTTATACGTAGGAGCCAAAAAAATTGGATCTCATGGAGACAGAGAGTAGAATGATAGTTACCAGAGGCTAGGAACAGTGTGTGTGAGGGAGAGTTGGGGGCTGGAAAGGAGGGGATAAGAGAGGATGGTTAATAGGTACAAACATACACTTAGAAGTAATGAATTATAGGCCGTGCACGGTGGCTCACGCCTGTAATCCCAGTACTTTGGGAGGCCGAGGCGGGCAGATCATGACGTCAGGAGATCGAGACCATCTGGGCTAACATGGT